CAGCGATGCCCAACATCATGAATGGATATCAAAATACATGCATGGAGGCCAGGTACAAAGCATGAGCACGTACCGCTATGAAGTTCAGAACTGGGTTGAATCCAAGGTTGGCGTGTACAGCGAACACCAGAGCGCTTCAGGCACTGCGGTGCCATTCCCTCCAGCTGGGTCAGGTGGTGCGATCGGGGTGGCCACGAAGCTGTTCAATTGCCACACATGGCTTACTGCGATGGGGATGCTGTGTACAGAATGGTCCGGCTGCACCCACCCCTTTGCTCCACATGGGGGCTTGTAAGAGGTGGGTGGGAACAGAACCATCTCCGTTGTGCCTCTGTGAGGGCAGCTGGGGCTGGAGCCACGAGGACAGAGAGGTCAGGGTGGGGGAAGCCGGGGGCATGCTAGTGGGTGTTCGATCACTCTGGGCTTGGTCTTCCTGTATCTTGAGAAGAATCACATCCGCGCCCAGTGCCAAGGCTCAGGTCTAAATCCTCACCTTGAATGCACCAGGATTCCATATGGGCACTGATTCGTGTCCTGGCTGCTCCACTTCTCATCCAGTTCCCTGCGTATGGCCTGGGAAAGCAGCCAAGGATGGCTCAAAGCCTTGGGATCCTGCACGCACGTGGGAGACCCGGAAGAAGCTTCTTACTCCTGAATTTGGATAGGTTCAGCTCTGGCCATTGCAGCCACTTGGGAGTGAACAAGTGGACAGATCTGTCTCTCCTCTCTGCATTTGTCTTTCCAATAAAAATAAATCTTTTTTTTTTTTTCCTTCGGCCCTTTAAGATGGCTCTGTGATTCCTATGCCTTATTCAGCTTATTGCTTGACAACCTTGAGTCAAGAGCCAATCCTTGGAGGATGTCGATTAGGTGCCACGGTCAACTCTAGCTATCTCTCCTGAACAGACACTAAGACAAGCTTCTTGGAAATGGTGCAGTTATCTTATTTGGCACAAGATCCCTGTTGATTACTGTGGCTCCTTGCCAAGCTTTTCAGCTTCTTTGGAAAACTAGGATCAAATTCAATCACTTCAACATAATTGACTACAACTGCTTCCTTAGCTGTCTTTAAAAGAAAATTAAATCAAGCCAATGTTATTAAATGTAGTAAATCAATTAAACAGTTAAAACTTGCTTGAATGTGGGACAGAGCATCTGTTCTATCTAGGATTTTTTTAAAATCAGATTTAATTTTTATTTGAAAGGCAGAGCTAAAGAGAAAGGAGGGAGAGAGAGAGCCAATCTTCACCTGTCTGATTCACTCCCCAAATGGCTGCGACAGCCAGGCTGGGCCATGCTGAAAGCAGGACCCAGAAGTTTCTTCTGGGTCTCTCACGTGGGTGTAGGGTGCCAAGGAATTGAGCCATCCTCTGCTCCTCTCCCAGATGCACAAGTAGAGATTTGGATTAGAAGCAGAGCAGCTGGGACTTGATTCCATGCCCACATGGATGCTGGTGCTGCAGGTGGCGGTTTAAAACTGGCTGCTCTTCCACAATGCTGGCCCTGCAAGGAAGGTTTCTTCACAGTCAATTCTAAGCTTAGGATACAAACGTAACTACCCTCCCCTCATCCCCCACCCCCCGCCATTGTTGGAAATAGAAGAGTGTAAGACAATGTCCCTAGGGTCCACTGGGAGTGAAGCTAGCCATGGGCAGGGCATGTTTCCCACAGCAAGGTGGAATGCAGCTTCCTGAGGCCACTTCTGGGGTCGCTGGCAGCACACAGATGGCTGGCAGGGCTGCAAGGTCACCCGTGCAGCCCTGCATGTTCATCGTCTGGTCTAGGTCTCCCTCCTATAGCATCCAGTTCCTTGGCCCTGTGTGCATGTGTGCATGCCTGCAGAGCAAGCTGGAACAGATGTGTGACAGGTGCCAGTTGCTTCTTACCCTGTAGGTAACATGTTAGGCTCGGTCTCAGAGGGCCTATTGGATGCTTGTTGGTCTTGCTGGAAGCCCCTGGTTGGTCCTAAACAAACAGTCCAAGAGGGCCATGTGCCCATGGCTCCTGGATTAGCTGCAGCTAGCTCACTTGGCCATCATGTGACTCCCCGAAAAGGTCCCAGGGCTGACCTGTTGTGAACAGTTGCTGAGTCCTGTGGACTGACCCAGGGCCTGTGCATGAGCTCAACACGCAGCCATCAGACTTGGTTGTGAGAGAGGTGCATTCTGAATCCCTCAGCGGACTGGGAATTTAGTTGTCATCTCACACTGGCTACTCTGCACTGCAGGCGCACACACACCTTACTTCTACCATGCTGGTGCCAGAGATCAGCTCACTTCCAGGGGGCAGGTCCAAGGATTATGAACTCAAGATGGCTGGAGGCAGATGAATGCTGAGCCCAGAGAAGTTTGTTTTCTTTTTAAGATGGCTTTTTCTTTTCTTTTTTTTTGAGGAAAAAAAAAGAGGAGAGCTTAGTGAGGACATTCCCACTCCTTCCCTCTGGCCTTGAACTAGTAAGAGGATTTATTCCACTCTGAAAGCTTCTTAGAAACCATACCCTGTGGATCTCTCTGTTTAGTGTTTGTAAATTAGCTTAAAAACCAAAGCCCATGGGCCCGGCGCAGTGGCACAGTGGTTAAGGTCCTCGCCTTGCACGCCCCGGGATCCCATATGGGCGCCGGTTCTAATCCCGGCAGCCCCGCTTCCCTTCCAGCTCCCTGCCTGTGGCCTGGGAAAGCAGTCGAGGACGGCCCAAAGCTTTGGGAACCTGCACCCGCGTGGGAGACCCAGAAGAGGCTCTTGGCTTCGGATCGGCATAGTATCGGCCTGTTGCGCTCACTTGGGGAGTGAATCATCGGACGGAAGATCTTCCTCTCTGTCTCTCCTCTCTGTATATCCGCCTTTCCAATGAAAAAATAATAAAAAATAAATCTTTAAAAAAAAAAAAAACAAAGCCCATGAGAACTTCCAGGCAGAAATTACAGTGATCACTCCTTTTTTTCCCAAGATTTATTTTTACTTGAAGTCAGTTACAGTGAAGGAAATATCTTCCATCCACTGGTTTACTCTTTAGATGGTTGCAAAAACCAGAGCTGGACCAGACCAAAGCTGGGAGACAGGAACTCCATCTGGGCCTCCCACGTGGGTACAGGGTCGCAATCACTTGAGTCATCATATACTGCTTTCTCAGGTGGAGGATTAATGCACTACATTACCACATGGCTCTGCAGCTTTTTTTTTTTTTTTTTTAAAGATTTATTGGTAAGGCAGATTTACAGAAAGAAAAGACAAAGATCTTCTCTCTGCTGGTTCATTCCCCAAATGGCTGCAACAGTTGGAGCTGAGCCAATCTGAAGCCAGGCCACAAGGAGGCAGCTGGATGGGAAGTGGAGCAGCTGGAACATGAACTGGTGCGCATATGGGCGAGGATTCACCAAGTAGGCTGTCACATCAGGTCCCAGCTGTCATTCTCTTGGTGTTTAGGCTCGTTAGCAAAGCAAGGAATATCTAGTAATCCTAGTTTGTGGCTATCACTCTGCATCGTGCTACGTCACCACCAACTTACATAGCCATCCCACCCTGTCCTTTCCCAGAAACTTCCTGACAAGGCAGTTTGCTGCCTTCAAGAGTTGCAAATAGCTGCCAGTGTTGAGGTTACCCCACAGCTGCTGCTTCCGAGTAATGTAGCAGAACTTTCACAAGGTGGTTTAGATTTCTTGAATCTCAAGCACACCAAACCTGAAAGCTCCTGCGTATGCCGATTTGTTAACGAAAGTATTTTGGGGGCTGGCGTTGTGGTGCAGTGGGGTTAAGCCTCTTTTCGGACGCTGGCATCCGGTTTGTGTCCCAGCTGTTCTGCTTCCAATCGAGCTTCCTGCTAGCATGCCTGGAAAGGCAGCACACGAACCATGTGGCTGGTCCCTGGCAGATGGAGCTCCTGGCTCCACCCCAGGCCACTGTGGTCATCTGGGAAGCAGGCAGAGCTATCTCCCTGAGACCTTCCCTTGCAGATAATAAGTACATCTGGGGGGAAGTTCCCCCTTTCGGTTCCCTTCATTCCCTCCAGCAACGTTCCCCTGAATGAACAAGCTCTGCGATGCAGGACAGGAATCTCCAGACTCTCTACTGGCATCCTGAGTCCCCACTGATGTCCAGTGAACATGCACAGCTGTTGGCGGGGCAAAGGAAGCTGGGCACCAGCCGTGACAGCTGAGAGGGCCCTATGGAAGGTGCTTTAATCAGCACGCCGGCTTTCCCAACATCTTCATATTAAGTAACTCCTTTCTCAATGGAAAGGCTGGAGGAGGGGGCTGTAAAGATGTGGGAACTCTCTCCTATTAGGGAGCAGAGCGGCTGTAAACGGTATTAACTCAAGTCCTCTTTAGCTGTTAGGGGCATTTTTCAAAGCCTACAGCTGTTGTTTGGTCACGGAAACTCCTTGGTGAAAAACCTGAACTGCTTTATGCAGGACGGACTCTGGGTGTTCTGCTGGAGCAACGGCAGGAGGCAAGGTGGCAGGACAGCTCACTCCCCCGGCCCTCTGCAGTGGCCCAAGCGGGTGATTCTGGCAAGACCAGGGCCGTGAAGGAGGGCACAGCCCCGTGTCTTCCTGGAGGTTCCCTGATTGATTCAGTAATTGGCCACAAGTAACACAATGCAGACTCCATCATGCCATCGCCTGCAGAAGCTGAATGAAGTCAGCTTCCCCAAGCCAGATCCACTTTCCTGGGGTGTTCCTTACAATCAAAGCTTTAAATAAACAAATAAATAAAAAAGCCCAAACAAACAAAAAACAATGGTTTCCTCTAGAAATTCTGAGTCACATTACACAACCAGATTAATAAAACTTACCCTTCCAGTTCCCACCACGTCTTGGTGCTTCCTGTGAGCGCTCGTGGGCTTTTGCTACCTCTGTTGGGTCAATGATGATCCCTTTCACAGTTCTCAGGTGGATTTGCCTTAATGGAAACCAAGTTAGTATTAAGTTTTCTTTGGGGGAAGGAAACTGGGAGTCCAAGGTATTTGGAAGGGAAGAAAAAATCCACAAGCCACGACAGACATCCAAAATGGCTCAACATAATTTATTTTTTTTTATGTTAAAATGTACAGAGTTCTTTTGAAAGTACTTGCTAGAAAGGGGGTGGGGAAAGATATTACATACAAGGAGGGGAAGGGAGGCCAACAGGCCCAGGAGCACATGGCATGGAGAGACAGCACGGCATCTGGGCACCCTTCCCCTCGGCTGACAAGTCACCAGGAACGGAGTACAAAGAGGTTACAAAACAGGAAAAGCAAATATAGACAGACAGGGATAGACTTGGCTTCGTTTGTACATGCGGCTTTTAGAGGCGTCTGGAGCTCTATTCACACTCTAGAGATCTCTTTAAAGAGAATTTTTATCTTTCTTAAAATAGTTTTTAATATTCTACAACAAAGATAAAAAATTTTAAAGATGGAATGAAATGAAAAAGCTCTTATTTTAAAAGGCATCAAAGTCACTAACAGTGAGTTTTTAAATTTCTTTTTTAGAAGATTACCCAAGTTATCTTGCTAAAAATACATTTTTTTAAAACAGAAGTGAAAAAATGACAGGTACCAATATTACTGTGTTGGATAATTTCTTTTATAATATAGAAAAGAACATTTTTTTTTCTACAATAGTTCTACAGTCACAAAGAGGCTTGTGGAAAAGGGAGCTGCCTGATTGAAATTTTTTTTTTCCTTATTTAAAGAAACAAAACCAAACACAACTGCAAACCAACAGAAACTGAACACACGGCCCTCCTCTCAACAGCTCCTTCTGCCTGACCCCCCTCCTCCCGACACAGCCCCCCACCCCCGCCCGTCCCCACCCCACCCCATCGGGAAGCAATGGGAGAGAGTGCACGGTGCACTTTCTACAGAGATGACAGGGCACTGGAAGAGTATATACAGACAGACCGGGGCCTACGCAGCCCTGCGCATGCTCGGGGTCCACGGCGCCAAGGTGTGGGATTCCGCCTTTGTCTACCTAGCACACTTAATTGAGAAAGTCAATTGAAGTGTATTAAAAAAATCAACAAACCTGTGCATTGGAAAAAATCGAGTGCCTAATTAGTACTTTAAAAATTTATCTATATAAAATGTACAAATAAAGGAGAGAATTGAACGCTTACAGGTATTTCTTGAAGCAGTACCTCCCCCTTTTGGATATCTGACTGCACATACCAAGTGGTATAATACGTTCCATCTTCTAATGATGGAGTGTATAAACACATACACGTACAGATATAGGTTCTGATACCTATTCCTGGAGCAAGTCATAGGAAGAGAACGGGCGAACTGGTTGCACAGGATAAAAGGGAAGGCCCGGGCGCCACACACGGACCTGCTAGAATTGGACACCCAGATTTGCCCTCCCCTGCTGGTGGTGGTCACTGGCCACTCCCAGGAGAGTGGCCGGAGCACTCAGTCACGGGGCATTGAACTCAGGATCTCAAGGGACAAATGATGACGAGACGCAGGTGTCACTGGAGTAAGTTACACAACTCAGCACCACAACCTCCCTCCTGACACAGGTCTGCCACGCAAGGTGTGTGGGTGGCTTTTGTTCAAATCTCTGGAACATACAGCCATCCGCCGAGCCTCCGTGGCGCATGGTAGGGTGGGGTGGGGGCTGCTGTGTGAGTCGCATCAGAGGGAGAGGCAGTTTGGAGCACACGCTGCACCCAGGAGGCGCAGCGTGGAGTGTCCTGCATGGCCGGCAGGGGGCGCCTCCAGGTTCCCTGGAAGGGCTGGGTGAGGACCACCAGCAGCTTCCCTCTGAGACCCAGAGGTTCGTGGACACTTGGGGTATTCCTGTGTCTGAGTGCTGAGTGGGAATATTAGACAAGAGGAAGAGGAAGAAATTATATGACACTTGATTCAAGAATTTCTATTTAGTCCGTCTATAAAAGAATTATTCCTGGGGGAGAAGTCTCAAGAGCGGGAGGGAGGGAGTGTGTATGTGTGTGTAGGGAGTGGAGGGGTTTTTCAAAGGAGAAGCGTTTTCCTGCTTCATTTTATGAATAATAATATTCACAATAAGAATCAGTGTAAGGAGCTTGGGTTGCTCTCCTGGGGCCAGCCCAAGTCTCCCAGAAGTGCCTCCTGCTGGAATGAAGTCGGGAAGGACAGGCTGGGCCTGGAGGAAAGGGCCTGGCTAACCCTCGGGATGTGTATGTGACATTTCAACAGGACAACATCGGGAGCTGCGACAGTGAGCGGAAACACACGGCTTCCAAGGAAACAAAGGTCATGCCCGTGTGCACGAGTTCCGGCCACGGGGCGTGGAAAGAAAGTAAGGCTCTTTTTAATTATGAAAAGGTTTTGTGCATGTTTCCCCTGTCCCCAAATCCATTTTTTAGATGAGTTCTACTGTAAAATGTTCACGATTGTGAAGAGAACCAAAACCCAGAACAAAATGAACCCAAAAAGAGATCAGGTTTTCTAAAAAATAAAATAAACCAAAGAAAATTTTCTCTAAATCTACAGCAATATTTTAACTGGAAAAAAGGTCCGCTTTTCTCTGGTTTGTCAGTATAAAAGGTTCCTTTATTTATATATATTTTAAGCTTTAGCTGCAAGTCCGCCTTGCTCATCTTCTCATGTAAGGTCCGTTGAGTGGCTGCTTGGGAACTCCAGCAGTGTTCATGTAGCTGTGATGGGAGGGGCCAGTGTACATCATGTTCCCGTGAGGGTTTGGCTGCATAGGCTGCTGGGTATAGGCCTGGCTCCCCATCATCCCCATCTGCATCTGCATAGGATACTGTGCTGTCTGGTTCATGTAGGCAGGGTTACTATGGTAACTGCTGTTCATCATGGGCTGTGTCATTCGATAGCTGTTCATGGCGTTCAGGGTGTTCATATTCATGGAATTGACATTATAGGCGGGGGTGGGCATTAGGTTGACCCCCACATTCATGCCACGCTGCACAGCCAACGCACGAGGGCTGGCCTGCATGGCCACCGCTGGTGGACTGCGGCCGTACAGCTGCTGCTGGTGTGCCGCGGCTGAGGGCAGCGGCGCTGACTTGGAGCGGATGGAAATATGCCCCTTGACGGGCATTTGCCCTTGCAACCTCTGAGTGTGAGGAATGCCGATGTTGGTGGCAGGCATGTTGCACTGCAGCAGAGGGGACGTGAGGTTCATGGTGGTGGATGCCAGGTTTGGGGGTGGCGTCATGGTGGCTTGTGCTTGAGGGGTCCCAGCCAATGGGTGCGATGGAGCCAGCTGAGCCAGTCCCGTGTTAGACAAAGAAACACTGGTTGCATAGGAAGTCACAGCAGGAGAATGGCTATAAGGCATGGCATGTGGGTCCATAATGGTGTTAGTGAGCTGCTGCAACTTGGCTAAACTAAAGGTGGCTGACGGTTGAGAGTAGCTGCCGGCGCCGAAGTCCCCTGGGATCCTCTCGTAGATGCTGATGTTTCCCGTGCTTCCAGATTCTGGTATCTCCATGATCATGGGGGCTGGAGTGAAACTGTTGTTCATGCTACACTGTGACAGAGGGGCCTGCTGTTGGGGAGGAGGTGGCTGCGGCGGCTGGGGCTGTGGTGGCTGGGGAGGCGGCTGGGGCTGTGGTGGCGGCTGCTGGGGGGGTGGTGGCTGTGGTGCTGGTGGCGGCTGCTGTGGTGGCGGGGGCTGTGGCGGCTGCTGGTTGCTGGGAGGCCTCTCGACCACACAGGTCTGTGGGGACTTGATGTTGCAGTTGGCAGCAGGCTGCACGCTGTTCTGCTGTAGCATGCTACAACTGCTGCCCATGTTGGCCATTTGCTGAGTGACCACACAGCTGTTCTGCGTGAGGCTGCTGGAGGAAGACAGCCCGCTGTAGGAGCAGCTGCTCTGCGAGGAGCTGTTGCCACAGATGCTGCCGCCCATCGTGGAGTCGTAGCTGCTGGGATTCTCGTAGTTCTCCGTGGTGCTCTCAATGCTGCCCAGGTCGCTGAACCCACTGTCCACCACCTGCTGAGAGTGGTCTGATACGGAAGGCACATCCATCATGGGGCTGGTCTCCATGTTCTGCATAGAAGGTGCGGACAGGGACCCTTGCTCCGGGCTGATCTGGGTGTAGCCACCCTCCAGGGCAGGCACGTTGGGACTGCTGACTGAACGGACCGACTGGCTGGGGTGAGACTGAACAGAGGAGATGGGGCTGTTGTGTTCGGAGGCATGGCAGTCCTCCACCATGGACATGGGTGGGTCCTCCTCGGCCTGGGTGTAACTCTGCAGGGTCTGGCAGGCAGCCAGGGTCTCCTCGCAGTCCTGGTAGGCCCCCTCGTGCTCGCTGCTCTCTTCTTGAGTCAAGGACTGCACGGCTTGCACGGTCTCCAGGTCCAACTCACTGTGTGTCATCTCCTGTTCCTCCTTGAGCTCTACCAGCTCTTCCTTGCCATGGGTGTCCTCCTCGTGGTCATCCTCGGACCCTGGCACGTGCTCAGACACCACGGATGTCTCGTGGGAAGGCTGCTCCTCCTCGGACTCCGGCTCGGTCTCATCTTTCTCCTTTGGAGTTGCCCCACTGTTTTGTGCATCAGGGTCTAAAAAAGGCTCTGAGCCGCCGGGCTCCTCCTTGACATCCTCCCGCAGGGCCTGCTCTTCCAACTCCGGCTTCTGGGCAGGTTCCAGGTGCCCATCCTCCTCATCATCCGCGTCGTGGTCCTCGTGCTGGCTTGTCTCAGCAGCCACATCCTCCTCATCCTCCGGCTCCTGCTGCTCCTCCTCCGACAGCCTCTGCTCCTCCGGGGCATGTGGCTTCTCCTCCTCTTCCTCATCCTCCTCTTCTTCCTCCTCCTCCTCCTCAGCCTCTGGCTCTTTGGCAGCGCTCTCGGGGCTGTGGCTGCTGTCGGCTGGGGAAACTGCTCTCACCTCGCTGCCAGTTGTGTCCTCCTCTTCTCCCTCTCCAGCCTCTTCTACATCGGCTTGCTCTTCTTCTTCCTCCTTCCTCTCTTCAGATGAGAGCAAGTCATCCTTTGGCTCAGCGGGGTCCTCGTGCTCTTGCATCTTGGGTTTGCGCCCAGCTTTCAGAAGGGGGACGATGGGCTCGACAACACACTCCTGCGTAGACATGGGCAGGGTGTCCCTGTTCAGCTTAAACCCTGGCTTCCTACCAGGTCTCTTCTTCCAGTGGATCGGTTTGCGGCTCTTGCCTTTGGGCCACCCCTTTTTCTTTTTCATTGGTGTGGATGTATCTGGCTCAAGTGGAGAGTTCTTCATGTCACATTTTCGCAAGAGAGATACTGGCTTTAGGATAGGAGTGTCTGTACAGAAGGGATAAAGAAAGAATAACACACACAGGTTATCAGACTTGACATTGCCAGGGCCTTTTCCTGAGACTGCTTGGAACAACAGAAATTATTTCATCAGCCAGCATTTTTTAACCATTGAGTATGTCATGACGGCACTAAGAATTTAAAAGACACACTGAAATAAAAACCTCTTCCAAAGTCTCCCAGTGAACTACAAAGAAACAGAGCCCCAGTGCACAGCTGCCATCCAGGAGGTAAAACCAGTTCAAGGTCATAAACTGGGTGGCTGCTATGGGAAGGCACACCTAGCTATTTATTTTGTAAAGATAAGCTTCCTAAAGATGCATATGGCAGGTCTTCACTGTGTATGTCACACATTGCCTTATCTTCTCTTTTATTTTCCTATTTGTAATTTATGTATCTCCCTGCTTTGCTTGGTGTCCACGGAACCATGACTTCGGGTAGTGCCATCAGTCCATGACTCCAGGCTTGGCTGGTGCAGTCACTGCTGCATTTACAAGGAAACACTCAGTTCTAGATGACGATGGACATTTAGTCCTAAACACGTAAGAGAAGTTTAAGGTACCAATGATGCTTACTACCTTTTGATAGCAGCAATGATTTTTATTATTAGTCTTTTCTGAGTAGTAAAACATATATAATGTAAAACTTTCATCATTTTTAAAGAATACAGGGCAGGCCCAGTGCCGTTCATGTCTTGGCTGCTCTACTCCCGTCTAACTCCCTGCTTGTGACCTGGGAAAGCAGTAGAGGACAGCCCAAAGTTTGGGACTCTACACCCATGTGGGAGACCCAGAAGCAGCTCCTGGCTTCTGGCTTCAGAATGGCTCAGCTCCAGCTGTTGCAGCTACTTAGAGTGAACCAGTGGGCAGAAAAAAAAATCTATCTTTCCTTCTGTCTGTGAGTCTGACTTTCCAATAAAAATAAATCTTGAAAAAAAAATACAGAGTAACAGAGTTCAGGACATTCACAGTTCCTACAGGTTTTTAAAGGAAAAGTGTCTACAGACAGAACATCCTTTGAGGGGAGAGCTGGTGCGTTGAGTGCTAACTTTAACACAAACATAGGAAAGGGGTCCCAGTTAAGAGATGGCAAGGAACACTGTTTCAGCAGTACAACAACTCAAGAAAGAACAAAGTATCAACTCTACAAAATGAGTATTTAGATTTCTGGCTATATATCTTAAACTGTAACATGAGTAAGACTTTGATAGAACCATTCACAATAAGGTAAAGAGCTTACTTTGTCACCACACTAAACTTATTTGTCACATAAAAATGTAAGAATAGAGAGCAGTAAGCAACCTATTAACTTTGAAATGGAATGGATTTAGGATAAAACGCTCAACCAGTGAATGCATAAAAAGGTAAGGGTTTATGTGCTAAGAGAGGACAACTAGATTCCTCTACATCTTCCCAGTGCTGTGAAGTGAGCAGACACTGGACACCGGCACCCAGGCCCTGGCCTAGGCTGGAGTGCCAAGGCTGAGCTCAGACTCGACTCATCCATGTGTGTGGGCTCTCCTGGTTACCGTGTTTCTGAAGAGGAAATGAAAACAGGCTGCTGTATGAAAGGCAAATAACTGGATCTTGATCTACACTGGGAATTACTGTCAGCATTTACTGGGAATCTGTCACTAGCTGGTAAGACGCATCAGAGAACAGCTTTAGGAAGGATTCCTGGCCAGGTCTCGGCAGACAGAACTGTCCTCTGGGCATGCACTCAGCCCCTCTCGCAAGCAGGCGGCACAGCCCAGAAGGGCCAACTGCCTCTCAAGAGAGGACAGTCAGGCCGAGGATGAACCATTTCCTAACAGCCAAATACTTGTTGAGAGAGGCGAACGTGGCACCCAAATCGAGGGGAAGCTCAGTGCACTGCTTTTATTAGGTGGCTCCACCTTATGTGGGAGGGCCTGAGCTCCTACTGCAGGCCTCAGGGTCACACACCTACGACAGGCAGCAGTTCCCTGAAGCATACCTTCAGCATCATCTGACTCTTCATCATCTTCTTCATCTTTAGACTTCCTCTTAGTAGAGGATCGGCCCCTGAGAACGTCTTGTGAGGACAGACGATGAAAGTATCCTCTGTGGAAGGGTTCGCTTTCATCCTCTTCCTCCTCCTCTTCATCAATTTCAAACGTGGGTTCTAGCCTTGGCATTGGCCTCTCAGAGTCCGAGTCTTCGAAAGGCTCATCCAGCACCTCTGTGGTCTCAGAGATGGTTTCTGTGACGACGCTGCTGTTGTGGTGCTTGCGCTTTCTGACTCGCCTTCTTCGGTGAAGAATCGGTTTCTATCAAACATGGAGAAAGCAAGGATTTTATTGATAGAAGTGAATACCATCTTTCCTATTGTGCACATGAAAAAAGCCTAGAGCCCACCAGAATTAGCATGCCTAAAATGAGGGGGCTGCTTTTTGACTGTTGAAAGACATGGGGTGCTACTTCAAAATACTCTCCATAAAGCATCAGGGATATAAAGGCGCTAGACAAGGGGACAGACTGGCACCAGAGCAGGCAGCCATGTCTAGAACAGGTGCCACATCTGTCTTCTGCCTAAGGGCCTGCACAGCCTTGGCTCACAGCACCACTCTGCAGCCCGGTGGCATGGGGCACCATTTTCACGTGCTAGCTGTGAGAGGCACAGTGGAAAGAACAAAACTAAATGATCACTAAAAAAGTAAAATAAGCCTTATTATTCAGATCTGATACAACCAGCCCTATTTTTTCAGTGGGTTGGGTTAATCAATTACACAACCGAAGACTTCAAAATAAGAGCCATGCTCATCCTACAAGCACCAACAAGGTTAAAGACTTTGTTGCAGGTGCAGAGCAGTCTCCCAATGCAAGCTGGGTGATACAAGTTGGGTGAAGTTCTTCAACAACTTCAACAGTGCTTGCTTCATCTCACTGCCTGTTGTTAATTTTAACACATGGAAGTAGCTTTTTTCCCCCTCCCCCTTTAACTTTATAAACAGGCAATGTAAGCCCTAGGAATGCAATGCAGATTATGTAATAAACAGGAGAGCTAGTCAAATGTATAATTTTTTACTTTGACTTTACTAAGAATTCAGCTTTCAAGTCATACTGAAAGGGACCCTTTGACTTGGAGAAAAGTGGTCAATTGTAAGAAAGGAGCAAGAACTACACACAGCACAAGCTGGGAGAACTTTCTAGTCCTCACAAACATCCCACACAAAGGGACTGTAAGGAGTCAGGGGTAAAAAGGCAGTAACAGTGGATTACCACTGGTCTGCTGTGAACTAAGTCTTAGCAATAACAGTTGATGAACATGAATTTTGGTATGCTATGTGTATTTTTGAAGATTTATTTTATTTGAAAGGCAGAGAGACAGAGATACTTTTGACCACTTGTTCTCTCTATCCAAATGGCCATGATGGCTGGAGCTGGGCTGACTGAAGTCAGGAGCTTCTTCTTGGGCTTCCATGTGGAAGTTGTGGCCCAAGCACTTGGGTCCTCCTCTGCTACTTTCCTGGGCACATTAGGAAGGAGCTGGCTCAGAAGTGGAACTGCCAGGACTTGAACGGGCACCTGCAGGGACTGCTGCCACTGCAGGCAGCACCTTAACCAGCTATACTACAGCTTTGGCCCCCTGTATGCTGCACATATCACACACAGTAAAAAATATCTAAGATCTACAAGAGATCACATTTTACTCAGCAGGCAACTGACTGGAAGGAGAAGTGCTGGACTGAGGTGGAGAGCAGCATGCAGCAATGCAAGCAGACCCTCAGCAGGACATCCCACGGGAACAAGAAGATGGCCCACATGCTTGGCTCCCTGCAACCATGCGGGAGACCCCAGCTGGAGCTCTTGGTTTCAATCTGGCTCAGGCAGTCCTAGCTGTTGTGGTCATCTGGGCCATGAATCTCAATGGATGACAGTTCTCACCGACTCTTCCCCTCTTCTCTGAAACTCTGCCTTTCAAATAAATCAATCTTCCCTGCTCCCCATAAAGGCAGAATCTTGCAGGCCATCAGCTGACCAAAGAAGCAACAGGAGGAGTCTGGGGGACTGGGAGCATGGTACAGCGTGCAGCAGGGTTATGACCTACTGTTGCAGCTTCACGTCCTGTGGCACCAGGCAGTCTTGGTACACTTAACTATTTTTAAGTAGCTTGATGGTAAACGACTAAACAGACCATGGCCTAACCTATTCTATATGTTTATGACATACCTAACCTAAACAAAAACTTCAATATTTCTAGACTAAGGCTGATCAACAGATTTTAAGTTGTTGCCAATCTCTAAAATATTCACCTTCAAGTGGACCCACACACTTCAAACTACTGTATAAGGGTCAACTATGAAATGAACCATCAAATTAAATACCTATGAGGCCATATGTGCATGAATAAACAGACAGTTCAAGAGAAGGTATAAAAGTTCGCATGGAGGCTCTGCTCCCCAGGGCGTGTGTGGGCTGTGTGTGGGGTAGGGGTGGGACAGCAAATCCCCTCATTCTAATGCACACACATACAGAAAAAACACTTTATGTTCTGTAACAAGGGACACTTTACCTCGATGGCCATCCTCTTAAAACACCAAAAACCCATATTCCCTGCTTCTAGTACTATAAAATACCCACCAGGGGTGGTGCTGCCAGTCTGCATATGCCAAACAGAAGCCATACGTGCTTTCTCTGAGAGCAAAGCACAGTAAGAGATTTTCAGGGAGACAGAGCACAAGAGTGCCAGCTCACATGCACACAACTTTAACTACAAGCATATCCTTATAACTGCCCTAGTCTAGTGTAAGCTATTGTTGCTGAACTCTCACTTTGCCTCACAAGTTAAATCTGGCCACAAGGCACCTAGGCACCCAGTGAGGCCGCAGAACTCTCTGGCAGCTAAGGTGGGCTCAGCAGAACCCATTATAACTGATTCGCACTCAAATTCTGAAATGGGTTGAAACACAGTCCAGAAGTCACTGCTGGTGGGGCTGCTGCAGCAGTACAATGGACTCAGCCTTCACTGCTGGCACACCCCACCAGAGCTGCTGAGTGTCTGACACAGAAACCCAGTGATGTGCCTGGGAAAAGCAGCAGAGGATGACCCTGGTACCTGGGACCTACAACCAGACTCCTGGCGTTAGTTGGTCTAGTTCTGGCCCCTGCATTCACTTAGGGAGTGAACCAGTGCACGGAAGATCTCCCTCTCTCTCTTCCACAGCAATCAGTGCTGCCACTGGAAGGACACACATGAGATGAGGGACAGGGTGAGCAGGAGGATTAAGGCGAGGTGAGTGCCCTCACCCAGCGGGCCCTTTGGCTACCTTTCCACTCCTAACATGAACACTTCCTAAACAATTCCTAGGATTAGTCACAGTGTTCCACCCGTTCCCTGGGAAGAGTGAAGCTACACAACTCTGAGGTTTCAAGCCTGGAACTCAGAGCTGCACCCAGAGGAGGGACGCAATCAGGGTGCCAGGTGGTACCTTCCGCTTCAGGGTGGGCTTGGTGAGAACTGGAGGCGAGCTGGAGCGCGGGCTCTCGGGCTCCTCCTCCTCGCTGCTCTCACTGAAGCCCCTAAGGAGGGCCCGGTCACCGTCACTGTAGCGCCGAGGCAGCCGGTCTGTCCCTTCCCTGCACTTGAGAGCCTCTGGGCTTTTCTGGAGCTGGGCTCGCCACAGCTCCACGCCCTCACTCAGTCTCCTTTTGGGTGCCTCGGGCTTCCGGTCCTGGCCCTGACGGGGCTGCTCACGGCAGGTGGGGGGTGGCTCCTCGGGAGTGGGGCGTGGCTCATGGGGTGCCTCTGGCTTCTCCTCGCACTGGGCAGCATACTGCTCCGGGGGTGCCGCTGGGCTCTCCTCTGCCAGCAGCTTGCATTCCTGCTCTCCGAACCGGTCCTGCGTCCTGCGGCTCTTGCGCCCACAACGGCCCCTTCGAGGTGGCTGGCTGTTGGCTGGGAGCACGTCCCGGGCCAGGGCTTGCTTGCTCAAGCGGGCAGAGTTGGCAGCGGGGGCTACTTCCGGCTTCTTCTCACTTTCTACCGAAGAGTAACAATCTTGCTCTTTACTCTCTCGAGTGGCAGACTTCCCCACCTGGATTCAGAAAACAAAAACAACACTGGTCAATTTTTCAGTCCTGTTCAGCGCTCTCTACCTATGCTAAACATTTAAGTACTCAGAAGGAAAAGCATCAACAGCTAACATGACTATTTCCGTACTGGGGGTTTTCACACCACCAGACGAAGCAGCAGAACTTGCCTGGGCCTCGTGCTCCTAACCCATGGGCAGTACCACCTTCAGGACACAGCCTGTTCTTGTCAGTGCCAGTCTTTCTTAAAGACAGAAATTCATCAACAGAGAAGAGACAAGCTCTTGGGGTATGGGTAAGAAAGAGAGGGGGTCTGTGAAACAGGAAAGAAAATTTGTGAAATTGCCCTGCCTGTCCACTGAAAGCTTCAGTGCAAGGTAAGAAAATACAGGTGTGCTTGCAACACTATTTTCTTCATGTTTTGTTTCAAGAAAAATGTGTCCTCATTTTAACAGCTGTCAGATCTAGACTCCATTTAGAGGATTCAGAGTCCTCCTCTCTGCTCCTGTACAGATCAAACCTGAGCTACTGCCGCCCAGTGGATAACACTTCATCACAAGTCCCCTGGGAAGCCCGGCTCCTTCCAGCCTGCGGCCGAGGAACACATTCATAAGGCAGGCACACTTACTCTTCCTGAAATCCCTATCACTGAAGTAAAACTGAAACTCTCCTAAGAATTTATTCTAATAATTTTATTTTTGATGTTATTTACAGAGTTGACAAGTATGCTCACCCCTGAGGAACACTCAATTGGGTAGGAAGGCTTGAGGTATAGGGGAAGGTGGGTGGAACAAATGCTTCCAATTTTCCTTTTCTTGCCTTTGCTCTGGTTCAGGGGGGCTAGGGGTGGGAAAATGTATTCTGTTGGTAAGATACTTGTCTGCTTTACAAATACTCAAGAAAATAAAAAATATATCTTTTGTCCTCAACAGCAGCCTCCTCCTGCCCCTTACACTGATCTCCAGCTCTCTTCTGCGGCCCTGGGCCTCTTCGCTGTCCCCCTCCTCAGCGTCCTCCTCCTCCTCTTCCTCCTCCTCCTCCTCGTCCTCTGAGACGACGGAGTTGGAGACGATGACAGGGGTCCAGCGCAGACACTCGGGGTCTACATCCACAGGTCGCAAATTGAGCTGGAGCTTGGCCATGTGATCCTGGATAAGCTTTTCCCGGCGGATGATCACAAATCTGGAACCAGAGAAAAGTTTATAGCAATCAATAAAGTACAAGAGGTTCACAAAATGAAAAGGCGGCACAGCCCCTGGCAAACCCTGCAGATAAATACTTCCCTGCATGGTGACAGAGTCCCAGTTCAGAAGATGACCTAACTACCTGGGATCTTACCACCCATATGGAAGACCCAGTTCGAATTCCAGGTTCCTGGCTTCTGCCTGGTCCAGCCCTGAGCACTGCAACCATTCGGGGAGTGAACTAGTGTATGGAAGACTGAACTCTCTCCTCCCTACACCTCTGCCTGGGAAGTCAATAAATCAACCTTTAAAAATAAACAAATCTTAAAACAGAAGAGGAGCAAGCTGCCTATGCAGTGTCCATGAAGAACAGAACAGCAAGTCTGGTTAACACTTTCCCCTGCACTACAGAGATGGCATCAACGGCATGCTTGGCACCACCATGCGCACCAGTGCCTGCATCACCTGGCCGCCCTGCATCCTTTGAAGGGATACAAGGGTGTGATACTCACTGGTCACTGCGGAAGTCCAGCATTCGCAGGTGGTGGAGTGTGGACGTTATGTCTTGAGGGCAGATTCCAGTCAACTTACTTAGCTTCTTAATGCTGATTTGCTTGTCATTTTGATGATAAAGGCACTCCAGTATTACACTTTTCCAATAAGCCATGTAGGAAAGTCGGCCTAGGTCCGACAATGGTTTCTCTGGAGACCCTGCCTGGCCTTCACGTTTTGATAACAAATAACCTAAAGAAATCCCAAAAATCACAGATGCCATCAGCAACCCTAGAAATGCCTGATTCACAAAAATCAAAAATACTCTCCTCTGTATCTAATCAAAATACTATCATCAAAAATAATTTCAAAGGTAAATTCCTTTCAAAAAGGTGAACACAATTACAAAATTATATCAATATCTGTAAGATGATCACATAATGTGTATATATTGAACATTAGGTGTTTATCTAGCTGTAGTTAGTACAAACCACTTTGTTAAAACATCCACACTGTTAATCATCAGGAGCCCTACTAACAGGATGCACTGTAAGACATGGCAGTTATGGCTTTGATATCTCAGTGTACTACCATCCAGGCATGTCTTGTTGGGACCACTAGATGGCAATGCCTGTATGTGAACTGAGAATAGCTTGGCTTTTATGTAATCCTAGCAAGACTGATCTTAAAGAAAACAAAATAATTTCTCACCTCAACTGGAGTTCTCCTTAAAGTTACCCATCACTCTAATTCTTGGCAAGCAAGGCCACCAACACGAGTGTGAGTGGCACTGTGAGCATATGTCATGTACTTCTGTCTAGTGACTCACAGGAATTACAGAAGGCAAGGACTTTAAGGGAAAAGAGAACAAAAATTGGAGCTGGTAGAGAAAATGTCCTTTTGTCATTGACCAATTTAAATGTGCTGTAAGAATGGTAATCTCAAAATACGAGTATTACCAAAAATGAAAACATGGAAGTCATGTGTTATTGATTGTGCCATCTTAGAAAGACTAATCACCCTAAGTAAAACATTTCCCTAAGTTTGTTATTTAATGGCATATAACATGTCCAATCCTGAGTCAAATTTCAAAACAGGACGGAAATATGAGTTCCACATTCTGCAATTCATCTAAGAAGGTCTAGAAAACACACAACAAAGTAGCACTGCCTTTCTGTAAGATACAGTTAGAAGTATGTGTGGTCTAAAGCCAAGAACAGTGGGATTAATTACTTAGACAAGAATTTAACTTGTTGAGAATCAAAACTGTTAGTACGAACCATAATTCCTGCACATATTCCTTTAAATATTTTAATAATATTGGGGGAGAGTGAGGGAAGAGGCTTCCTTTCATAACGTAATTTTGTAATCATTCAAAAATTTATTGAAAACATTTAACTTTGTAAGCAAGATAATAGAAGAGCAAGACAAACTGCAAATTCCACAATGAACTCATTATAACTTAGTTTTCACTTTTTGATTCAGATTGAATTATTTCCTGTATCATTCTCGAGATTTTTAAAGGGGTTTCTGACCACTAGGAGGAACCTTCCACTCAAGAAATGCACACTTCAGGCAAGTGCATAACAAAAATGGGCAGGTGCCACACTTCTTTAATATTATACTGTAAGCAGTTCTGTAACATTTTTAGTATTATTGTTAGTATTACTGCTTAAAACTATGTTCCAGAGCAAGTGAGCAGATACAAATTAAAGGTATTTCCTATGGACCACACTGAACTACAGTTATCAGCTATTTAAAAATATTGTCTCTAATCCAAAGGATTTGTGGTTTTGAAATCCATGAAGTATTATGACAAGATAGTAGCAGCTAATACATCAACTATGAATCTTTAACATCTTCACAGAAAGAGGTTGCACAGGAAGTGTTGAGGAGACTGTATGTGAATAAAATCCTTACTGAAATCGATGAGAAACCTGCCATAGCCCTTGCGCTGGTATTGTGGGAGAATCATTATACAAGAGACGTTGTATTTCTGTTGGCAGTGCTTTTCCTAGTGGAGAAAGTAAGAGGCAAGATTTAAAACAGTGTGGTAAAAACTTAATAGTAACGCTAATGATTAACAAACAAAGACTACCAGCCAAACCACAGCCCAGTGCTTAGAGACCAGCAGTGCACACCAAAGAAAACAACACCCCGTGGGAGAAGAGAGCAGTGTGAAGTCACTACTGTTACCCACAAAGCAACAGTCCCAGGAGGGCAGGACACAAGACCCAATGGTCCCCTTTAGCCCTAGCTGCAACCCAGCAGGGGAGCCTGGGCTCTGCACCATCTGCAAAGCCAAAGCGGATATTTAGCAACTGTCAAACTTCCTTCACTTTCTGTTTTGCTGCTACATTGGGTACGAAAGCTCCTGAGTTGTGCCTAACATTACACAACTGCCCTGAAGAATGAGTAGGTATACATGTTTATAAATTAATCAACATGTTTTAAATCATACTTAACAAAGTGGCCTACTTGAAGGACTCTTATGAAGTCCACCGTTTTACATATTTTCACATTTTACCATTGCTTGCTTATATAAAGGTTCATTGATTTAGTGTGACTAGACATTTTTCTTTCCTAAGGGAATGAAGATTGAGAAGAAAGTATTCTTTAATAGAAAATGGCTTCTTATCCTCACTTCCATGGCTAAAACTCAAACAGATACAATCCAAGTTGAGCAAAGGCTCTGAGATAATGACCGTGTTTACCTCACAAGCTGTGTCTGTTCTCTCCATGGGAGTGCGAGCACCATTAAAATTCTCCTGAGTACTGCCAGCAGCCCACACTCCTAGGAGACTCATCCTGCACAGGGGTATTGGGCCCCTTCTAGCACGCAACACTTTCTGAATGTTCCTTCTATCTTCTACCCCACCAGCTAAATGACACCTACAGGATGCTGCATCCCGCAGTGTCTGACCTCAAACCAGGAGTCCAGGCTGCTTTAGATTTCACAGGCATAGAAACATTTCAAGCTGTTGTACTTACTTTAGAAAAGTAGCCAACCAGGTGGCAGCCCTTGACATCATTCTGCGTTAGTACATAAAAAAGAAATGGCTCCACGTCGTAATAGAGTGTTTTGTGGTCAAGAAACAACTTTGCCAAGAGACACAGGTTTTGACAATAAATGGTACTCACGTTCCCATCAACCTAGAGGGAAAAGGGCAGAGAGTGAAACAGCCAGCAGTGTCTCTTCAACCCAGAGAAAACCACATCCCTGACCAGCATCCTGGGCATCCCCAGCCTGGCCAGGGCAGCTGGCAGTTAGCAGCACCCACAGAGGACAGCCAGGCTCTCCAGCAACGTGGGCAGCTAGATGAGGGGTGGGGGACAATGGGGCTTAGAAATCCAGTTTTTTACTTTTATCAAGATTAACTGCAGGACCTCTTAGATGGCACCCTTCACTTGTCCAAAGGACTTGATTCAACCACAGACATGCATGTGACTCCTGATGCCCATCACCAGGTCTGCTCCCAACTGAAGTGACCTGAAGGAGTTCTGAGCACTGCCTGTGGTGACCTGCTGGTGTGGCTCAGGGCAGCCTCCAGCCCATGGCACTTTGTTGACAGGCTCACTCATTGGCACACATGCCACTGGACATGCACTTAGCTGCCAAGACACCGTCAGGCATGCTGCTTCAGCGAGCTAAATAACTTAACATCACTTCTGTTAAATACAAACTAACATGCTTCAGCTGAGAAACCACCTGCTTTGGGGTATTCTGAAACAGCACTGTGCACCACATATTCATTTTCTCTCTTAAGCAGTGCCCAGGGTGCTTGGCTGACCCTATCAGAACACCACCATGGGGAAGACCCAGACAGTGAGAGCCTGAAAGGATCCTGATCATCTCAAAGTCTATGACCGGGCACAGAACAAGTACCAAGTAACACCTGACGCTTCAATCACAGAACTCAGGAGATGAACAACCGCTACACACAGTAATACAGAAGCCCAGCCATGGCCCAACTCATGTCAGCCGCATGTTCAAAACTTAGTAATGTCATCCTCGAGATGATCATTCTTCATAGAAATCATGTCCCTTAAATGCTGGCTTTCATAGATTTTAAAATGCTCTACATACAAACACAAAATTGGTTGGCATTTCACACACAAAAGAAGTTCTAATGAGCTTGTGTTTACATTCAAATGAAGTTATAACTCATAATGAATACATTTCCCTTTTTAGTCTCACATAAAAGAGTAAGATATGTTATAACTGATGCCTTTCATTCAATGAAATACAGAAGAACCATGTTCTGAGGTCAAGCTGTGAATGTAGTACCACCCAGGGAGGCTAAATCCTGCTTCTCATTTGGCTAATGATTTACTCACTGCCTTAAAACAACAGCTTCTAGAAAATCAAGTACCACATTTAGATGCCACAAAATGTGGATAAAAGTAATGACCACAAAGCAACCTTACCTCAAAGACAGAAATATTGTTCTTGCGGTAAATCTCATTGGCAGGTGGATGGAACCAGCCACACTTCTTCATGTGCTGCTGCAGAATAGTTCTGCTTTTCATATATTTTAGACAGAATTCACACAGATACAATTTAGGCAGCCTGCAAAGAACGATTCAAAAATGCGGGGCTTTATATGTTACAGGACTTCAAATTACTTAAACTATCATCTTTATTACCTCCATTAACCACAGCCTACACTCATCTAGGTAACAGCATCCAACTAAGAAGCCAGCAGAGGGCAGGGGGCGCAGCACTCTTCGCTAAGTCTCCTGGGGTGACCTGGCAGGCGGGGAAATCTCATGTTCCCCCTTTTTTGAGATTCTCCAGCAAGCAGAAGATAAAGCTGACGTTCAGAATGCTGGAATAAGTGAAGATCTGAAGTAATTATTCTTTCTTCCTCCGCTTATTTGTTACTCATCTACTGATTTAAAAAAATATGTGCTAACATTGTGTTTCATGCCCTAGCAATAGGAAGGAACTTCAAAAAATTTAGAGAAATGGAACTAAAAGGTGAAGTTTATTTTGGTACAAATATATATTTTAAAATTTTAGGTATAGCTTTTTTATAATACACTCTGTAACCCAAGACTTTCCTAAAGTTTCCTTTTAAAGTGTCAAGTAAAATGAATGTATATATAGTATAAACCATGTGATTTTTTTTTTAGATTTACTTATTTATTGGAAAGTCAGACATAAAGAGAGGAGGAGAGACAGAGAGGAAGATCTTCCATCCGATGATTCACTCCCCAAGTGACTATAACGACCGGTGCTGCTCTGATCCGAAGCCAGGAGTCAGGAACCTCCTCCAGGTCTCCCATGTGGGGTGCAGGGTCCCAAGGCCTTGGGCCATCCTCGACTGCTTTCCCAGGCCACAAGCAGGGAGCTGGATGGGAAGGGGAGCTGCTGGGATTAGAACCAGCGCCCATATGGGATCCCGGTGCGTTCAAGGAGAGGACTTTAGCCGCTAGACCATGCCGCCGGGCCCAAACCATGTGTTTTTACATATGAAATTGTGACACTGAACATGTGTGGCCAGTCAGAACATACCTCCTCCTTTCTAACCCTGACACCCTGGCTCGCTCCTTCATCAAATGTCACCACATGAAACCTAAGTCAAGGGGTATTTTAATTAAGAAATGTTCAAATTACTTTGTATGTTATCACATTGCTCCTTGTACTTATACAATAGTGTTGCAGTAAAAACAGAACTTCTTAATTACACTGGCAATAAGGTAAATCATTAGGGCAGCTCCCAAGACAATGGAAGGAACACAAGCTAAATTAAGAACCACGGCTTTGACTATGCTTCAGTCTGAAACAGTCAAATGCCAAGGCTCTCCTGGCCTGACATGTTCCACTCATTCCCCATCTTGTGTGCTCAGCAGAGCTGGCTTCCCTGCTTCCACAGCCCTCAAGCCCTCACCAGCCAGCCAGTGATAAAGGCCACATGCAAGGGTGAGCATTCGTGGTGCAACAGATGAAGTCATCGTGCCACACACCCACATCCTATAGCACAGCATGGTTTCATATGCAGCAATCACTCCACATCCTCTCCCAGCTTGCTGCTAATGCACCTGGGAGGCAGCAGACAATGGCTTAAGTGCTTGGACTCCTGCCTCCCATGTAAGACACCCAAACGGAGTTCATGGCTCCCAGCTTCAGCATGGTTTGCCCCGGGCTATTGTGCTAAGTAAATCAGACCGCATGCATGCTTGCCCTGTCACTCCACCTTTTAAATAAAATTGGAATTGTATCATATTTCATTTCACCATGCAGTATTTTTATATATGTAGTTCTTGAAAAAGATGAATTTATTTTAGATTGAGGTAGAATAAAAGAATAACCTAACTAATTTAGGTTGTTATCAGTATAGACAGTAACACATGAAAACAAAGACTATTTTAGAGTTAAAGAAAATGGTATTTGCAAAACAAAAAGGAAGAGTTTGACTCATTAAAGTATGATGACCACAACAATGTTTCCAGGCTCGTGCTCTGGAAGCAGCTTTTGAAGCATAATCATAGATGATGTGAAAACACCTTAGAGCCCAGGAAGCCTGTCTTGAGGCACACTGGGTGCATGGTAAGGATCTCTGCTCCAGGAAAGCTGAACTTCTTTTCCCTCTTGGCAGGGAAGAGGCTGCAAACTCTGCCTTAACTTTGTGCAAATAACCTCACATATTATTTTCAAAATGTCATGTCAGGATACTGAAAGCTTCCAAGGAACTACTACGGTATATAAGATTTATTTATTTTTATTGGGAAGGCAGATCCACAGAGAGGATAGAAAGAGAAGGTCTTCCATCTACCAAATGGCCACAATGGCCAGAGCTGAGCAGATCTGAAGCCAGGAGTCAGGACGAGGAGCCTCTTCCAGGTCTCCCAAGCAGGTGCAGGATCCCAAGGCTTTGGGCCATCCTCCACTGCTTTCCCAGGCCACAAGCAGAGAAATGAAACGGAAGTGGAACATCAGGACATGAACCAGCAACCATATGGGATGCTGGCATCATTGGACAGAGGATTAACTTGTTGAGCCATGGCAGCAGCCCCAGTATATTTTGAACTGTCCAACACACAATATGGCTTTCCAAACTCTCTAATATTAACTACATCAACATAACATGCTGTTACAGCATTAGTATGAAAATCATTCCAACAGGAAATACTGAATAAAGCAAATAAAAATTGGCATTGTAATTTTAGTCAGGAAGTGAGAACCAACGGTATGAAAAGGAAATGGGTCCCGTACTAGTCATTTCTTTGGTCTGCACATGGCCCAAGATGCCCCATGGTTCAGGGGAAGACCAGTAGCACAAAGGGCTCTCTCCCTCTTAAGTATCATGTGAATCACAGCAAGAAATGGCTCTATCGGTAAACATCATCTAGCACAGACACATGAACTAGGTTTCAAAAGTGACCCACAATTTTGAGACTGTCATTCTAGATACCTGGATTTTGAACATTTCTCTATAAAAGCAAGGTGGAAGGATGACATCCCACCTACAATTTACCTTTATTTATTTATATTAAATTTTCAACCACTAATACTAATTTGTCAAATCACAAAGTTATGGAGGTAACACAACTTAAGCATAGCTTCACTTTGAGAGATAAGTATCATAACTGAATACTTCCTTTATGTGTGAATCTGAGCAATATAAATAAAATTCTATGCTTTTAATAACACTAAAAAGGAAATAAATCAAAGAAAATAGGGATGGGGCAGGATTTAGCACAGTTATTAACACACCACTTAGAATGTGAGCATCCCAGATCAGATTGCCTAAGTCCCAGCTTCAGTTCCCAATTCTAAGTGCCAGGAGAGTGCACGAGGTCCCCGAGTTCCTGCCACCACATGGGAGACCTACCCTGAGTTAGAGGCTCCTGGCTTTGGCCTGACTCAGCCTCCGCCTTCGTGGGTTTTCAGGAGTGAGCTAGCGCATGCAAACTCTATTGTCTCTTGCTGCCTTCCAAGTGAATAAAATAAATAAACATAGTGACAGACTCCTAAGCTTTCCAAATTATGGTGAAGTACAACTTTAACAGTGCCCAATCCAATTGTTTAAGGTCTCAGTACAGACACATAAAAATAAAGTACAAGTTACTTAGCTAAATTTAATCATGTCACAGTATGCACATGCTCAAAGCATTTTGCACATGATTAATATACTTATATATCAATTAAAAAGTAAAATGGGGCAGATGTTGTGTGCCGGTTGAACTGCTGCTTGCGATGCCCACATTCCATGTCAGGGTGCTGGCTGGAGTCAGAGCTGTGACCACTCTGCTTCCAATCCAGCTCAGCTCCCTCTCACGTGCTGGGAAAATAATACATGACGTTTCAAGCACGTGAGCTTTGTCTCCCACAAGGGAGACATGGCTGCAGTTTCAGGCTCCTGGCTTTCCCTGGATCCAGCCCTGCTGCTGTAGCCATTTGGGGAATGAACTAAAAGATAGAAGACTGATGTCTCTCTCTCTGCCTTTCAAATAATGTCTTAATATTAAATATTAACATTTATAATTAATATCTACAATATTAATTACTTTTCTGAAAACATAATCAAAGAAAGAAAAAGTAGAATTTAGCTAAGATCAAAGGAAAGTTAAAAGACTTTTAGTTTTAGCAATAACCAAATTGCTTAGAAAAATATTGAAAATCTGAGAAAAATAACTGCCAAATATTTTTTAATTTCCTTAGAATAGCTAGATGAAGTCTTCTACACTTGATCTTAGCCAAAGGGCCGAGAAGCGGTAAGATGAAGTCTTCTAATAATGATTTTAGAAAAACTAAGCTGAATTTCATCAGATGAAAAGAAGGCAATGCGATCGATCTACCTTATTCAAAAAACATCTTCCTGAGAACATTTTTAAAATTTCTTACTTTGTGAGATCCACACCCAACAAGATGTAGATTCTCAAGAAATGATTTGAGAAAACTTCCAAAAAAGCAAAAGCAAAAAAAAAAAAAAAAAAAATTTTTTTTAAATGAGGTAAGAGAGCCATGGGAGACACAAAGAGAGCTTCCATCTGCTGGCTCACTCCTTAGATGAACACAATGGCTAGCATCAGACCAGGTGCCATCAGGAGCCAGGACCTTCATCCAGACCTCTCATAAGGGTGATAGGGTCCCAAAGACTTGGGCCATTCTCCACTGCTTTTCCCATGCCATCAGCAGGGAGCTGAATTGGAAGAGGGGCAATGGGGGCATGAACTGGCACCCGCACAGGATGTTGGCACTGCAGGCAGTGGTTTTACGTAGTATGCCACAATGCTTGTCCCCAAAATGCTTCTATAGAAACAATACAAATAGCTGCAGTTTTCCTTTTGAACAAACATACAGAAAGAACATCAGGCTATAGGAAAAGCGGCTCAGTTACAGGGATGATCAATCCTGAGCCCCAGAGAATACTGCCAGTGGCGAGGGCAGTGCCATCAGAACCCCTGCATCCTCAGGGTTCTGAGCATCCCTGGCAGCTGGCAGCTGCAAGTGGCTCTGGGCAGCAGAGCCCAGGTGGAGCCTCCACATACTCCACGCTGATCAGAAGTCTGTCAGATGCAGATGGACTATCTCTCTGAGGAATTCCTGTAGTGCCTTCTGGATTTTGAGGCTTGCCCAAGGTAACAGCAAATTGTAGTACAATTTCTTAAAAATTATTTTATCTTAATTATTTTGGAAATCACAGAGAGAGAAAGGGAGACGAAGAAAAGAGTTTTTCTATCCACTGGTTCAGTTTCCAGATGGCTTCACTGGCCAGTGCTGGACAAGGCTAAAGTCAGGAACTTCATCTGGGTCTTCCACATGGGCGGCAGGGGTCCAAACACTTGGGCCATCCTCTGCTTTTCCCAAGCCATTAGCAAGGAGCTGGGGTGGAAGCAGAGCAGCCAGGGCACGAACCAGCACTGAAAGGGGAAGCCTTTGATCCCAGGTGATGACTTTACTTGCAAAGTCAGTTCCATGAAACTTAATGTAACAACAACAAAAAATCATGCCAGGTGTTACTTGTATACAGCAATTGGTACAAGCCAGGGAGCTTCACGTGGACACACACATGTGATGTGCAGCAGCACAAGCTGTGAGAGAAGCGGGCTGAGGACCTGGCTCTGCTGTTGCCGGCAGCCATCTGAATTACACTAGGACCAACCCACCCAGAGGAAATGACAGCTGCTGCTATTTCCTTTAATCCCCTTTCATCCATCTTACTGACTAATCAGAGGTTTGGTTTCTTCCCAGTAACTGGGAAGAGAGCTCCCGTTATTACGAGGATAAGTAAACCTGAGCCAAGCGACAAGGTTACAGACTATGCACTAAGTCAAGTCACAGAGAGCATCAAGAAGCAGAGGAAATGTCCCCAGGGAACATGAAGAGGTGTGCCGTGAGCAGCTGGGCTTCAGTGCAAATGGAGGCATGTCCTGCCTTTTCTGACATACTGAAATACAGCAGCACTCCATCAATACAACCCAACCTCCTCATAACATAGATAAACTGGTGCTTCAGACCACACCACTGGGAGGACACGCGGTGATTTGCAAGTGAGTCAGGTGAGGGCTAACTGACCCCCCCAGGACATGGCTCTCAACTGTTGCTTCCTCAGAGTGGCCACACTTGGCCCTGAAGTGTTGCTTTTTGATGGCTGTGACTTGCTCACTGAGGTCTGAGTTTGTTAACAGCATTCTTGCTCCCATTTTTCTATGTCTGCTGTATACTTGCAAGCGCGGTTTGCAGGTTGTTCCATTAAAACAAGACCCTTAACAGCTGTACCGACCTGTGCCCTAACTTTGCCCCACCTAGGAACAGGCCATGTTGTTCAGAAGGTAAAAGCTACAGGACGAATGCTCTGAGCATTCATCTGAGCGTGTGCCCACTGCCTGCAGCACCGTGATTAGGATTTGGTCCAATAGCTGCTAGGTGGGACACTGAGGCATGAACTGCTTAGACTAATGGGTCCACCATATTTCAAATCACAAAGCAGCACATGCGTTTTTAACACATCTCATTTCCCCTCTTCTGTCAATGAGCCAACATTACTAAGCACCAGCTTCAAAGCACTGCACATGCTTGAACTCCTCTGATGTGCACAATGACCTGCGAGTCCATTGCCTCTAGCACAGCTAGCTGAACAGCTTCTCAGCTTGCATGGTTTACAATGTCAGAGCTGAGCCAACAGCCAATTGGGCTCCACTAAGCAGGTTTTCTCATCCCCAAATTCCTGGTGCAGGATGGTTTTTTTCTTTTTTAAATCTGGAAGCCTAACTTTTTATATATAACACTACATCATTGTCCAATTATCTCTGGGAAAATGAACCATTCACTAAATTTGTTCAATTAATTTATACAAAAAGTTAATCACAAGTGAAATTTTATATTTACTTGCAGTTATACTTAAGATGCTATCATTTCTTTCTTTATAAAAATTTTACTGTAAGAAGTGAAGGTAAATTTCCCTTAAAAAGTATTGTGCACTGGGACCATGCTTAGCAAGCTAAGCGTATGCCTGCAGTACCAGTATCCCACCTAGGCGTTGGCTCCTGTCCTGGATGCTCCACTTCTGACCTAGCTCCCTGCAAATGGCCTGGGAAAGCATTGGAGGATGGCCAAAGTCCCTGGACTCCTGCACCTAAGCGAGAGATCTGTAAGAATACCGTGGCTACTGATTGCCCAGTTCCAGGCCATTTGGGCAGTGAACTAGTGGATGGAAGGCATTCTGATGGCCCAAGTGAACCAGTAGATGGAAGATTGTTTTGTCTTAGTCTCTCCTCTCTGAACCTCTGCCTTTCAGATAAACAAAACAAAATAATACAAAAAAAAGGCAGATGAAGTGTCTCAAAGCTTTTCATTCTGACCAAGTGCAAGGCTTCTGATGTAAGCAGCAGCTTTCAGACAGGTTAGAGAAACGCAGCAATCTAAAGCAAGGGGATGGCACACTGCGTGTCTCCTGGCATGCAACTAGTGTGAACATAGACAAACCTCAGCTTCCTCAAAGGTAAGATGCACTAGACAAAACCAGCTTGAACATCCTAGAGTTCTACAAACCTAGAAGCAGGAGGCAGAGGGCCTCTCCGAACATACCTGGAGTATTCTTGAGGATATGGGGAGGAGTACCAGGTGTGGATCTCATACTTCCCAAATTCAATGACTGAGGGACAGCGGACTTGTGGATCAGGGGGACCAGTCACTCCAACTTTCTGCGTAGTCAAGAGACACATTACAAAAGTTAGCTACGTTACATTCACTATAACAGTCATAAAAAAAAAAAAAACTCAACCTTTATATTGCCTTTTCAAGATTCCATGGGGTGGGGTGAGGGGACTGCCAGAAAACTCACTAGTTTCGCAATACGTTGTATTATTCTTTAAGCAGAGTACCTATGCAAAAACAGGAATGCCAGTATATCTTTCAGAGCCAAATGCAGCTGTTGGCACTGCATCTTCTATATTTAGTAACACTGAGAATATTCTCTAAGGACTTACTTATTAAGGAGAACCTGCTGGCATTTGGGAATGTAAAGAGATGCCTCTCTACAAAAAGAAGGGGGGAGTGCTGCCATGTGCCAAGGTCAGGACACACACCGCAGGAGCTGTCAACATGAACACGACCTGGGAACAAGGAAGCCCACGCGCAGAGGAAGGCTCCTGGGGCAGGAGCAGAATCATAACAGCCTGATAAAACAAACACCCTAAGGTCTTCGCTTGCTGCACAGCCACCTAACACACCCTTCATTAGCAGCTCTGCCCAGGCCTGACCAAAGGAACACCAGTGTTACACACAGATGATCCCGGGTGTTTAACATACAAACATACAAACCATTTCTCTGCCCCCACAATGTGACTATGCCCACACCAACCACAAACAGAGCAACTTCACAAGCCTGTTTGACTATCCTGACCTCCACACCAGCAATTCACACATAAGCCACCACTGAAGACAACAGAGACTAGGTTCTACATTCTGCTCTGCTTCCAATCTAGCAACAGATCCACACATGTATGTGTGTACCACATATGTTCTTAAAAACACTAAAACGACTGCTAGAACTCAGCATGATCAAACCACCACCACGGGCAGGCCTTCAGTGCAGCGGCAAACAGCATACAGGATGCCCACATTCCAGCACTGACGCAGCTGAGCGCCACTCCCCTCAACTCCAGCTTCATGCTAACACACATCCAGGAGGCAGGCAGGGAGGGCTCAAGGAGCTGGACCCCAGCCTGTAGCCACTACAGGCATCTGCAGAACGGATGGGAGCTTTATCTTTGTGTTTACAAAGTAGGGGCTGGCATGGTGGGATATCAGGCTGATCCTCCACTGGCATCCCATAATGGGCACCATTTCTAGTCCTGGCTGCTCTGTTTCTCATCCAACTCCCTGCTGCTGACCTGGGAGAGCAGTAGAGACAGCCTAAGTGTGTGGACCTCTGCACCCACGTGGGAGATCTGGAAGAAGCTCCTGGCATCCAGCTTTGGACTGGCCCAACTGTGCTGTTGCTCTCATCTGGGGGATGAACCAGTGGATAGAAAACCTCTCTTTCTCTCTCTCTGCTTCCTCCTCTCTTTTTCAAGTAAAATAAGTAAATCTTTCAAAAGAAAACAAACAACAGAAAACCCCAGCCAGACAACCAACCAACCAACCAACCACCAACAACGACAACAAAACAGGAAAAAAAGAATAGCCAAAAGTACACTTAAATTTTATGCTTTGGGGATCACTACAAGATGACACAGAAAGTCGCCTGTCGGAGGACGTAACACATGTAACCAAATTCAAAGCGACCAAGACTGATGCAGCAAGGAAAGCTGCCGACCACGATACTGGCATCACGATACTGGCATCGCATACAGCACAGTTCAAGTCTTGGCTGCTCCACTTCCAATTCAGCTCCCTGCTTGTGGCCTGGGAGAGCAGTGGAACAAATCCCAGATTCTTGGGCCATGTGGAAGACCTAGATGGAGTTCCACCAGCCTGGTCAGGCCCCAGGCATTGTGGCTATTTGGGGATTAAATGAGCAGATGGAAGGTCTCTCTTGATCTGTCTTTCCCCCTCTCTCTCTTTTCGAACACTGCTTTCAAATAAGTAAATCCACTAAAAAAATACTAATAAAATGAAAAAAAAAAATCCTCTGACCTTGCTCAGAGAAAGAAACCCCTTCCTCAGTAGGCATTTGAGAGCAGCCCTGTCTCTCTAGCCCCCCTCTTCATAAAAGGCCCTAGTACTCATCTTGGGTTGCAGCTGGAAAATAGCCAAGCAAAACCAAAGCTCTTCCTTAGTCACTCCAAAACAAAAGACAAACCCTCTGTTAGTTGGACAATTATGTTCTTCCACTAACTTGTCCTGGGTGTCTCTAAGTGCAAAAGTAACACAGAAACACCTAAGAAAGAGTTAAAATAGACCAACATTAAGTTTGTAAAAGGATTTCTATAATAGGCTGTTCTTAGAAACTATATTCCAGAATCAACTATTCTACCAACTCACAAAGCAGTACCATTTTAATAGTTCAAAACAACCTAAAAGAAAGTATCAAAATAACCAAACACCAGAAACCAACTTTAAGCTCCCAAGACAAGGATCAAACCGGGGGTGCTGAGGCTGGGCTCTACCTGTTGCTTTAGAGCCTTCTCATCGAGTGCCCGCTGCTCTTCCAGGCGGATACCCGACGTGAAAGAGGATATCCAGTTCCAGTACAACTGCTTGCACATGGCTGCACCCAGCACAGCCTGTCTAAAACTAGCCACGCCTGCCGTCTGCCCCAGCCTCCCCTCCCATTTGCACTGCACAGACCTCCCCAGTGAATGCCCGCTTCTGTAAGCCTCCAGAGCGAGGGTGTGGCTGCTGTTGTTGGCTCAGGTTTGCACGTTCAGGGAGGGAGCAACCATGGCATCCCAGCCACTCATTAACCCGGTCCCTGCTAAACTCAAATCCCAAGGGTGCCTTTGTGAGGTCATTTTTTTTTCACAACTTCAGTCAAAATACACTCTGATTAAGCCTATGACTTTCCAAAGTAGTCGCTGCCTAATATAATCAAGAGCATGCGTGTATGTATGTTTGCGTGTGTGTGAGCACATATGCGTGTAAGCTTTTAATTCCAGTCCTGCCCGTGTACATCCTCATTCTCATCCGAATATGCCAGATTCTTAAGAGGACGACACACACATTGAGTCAGAGTTGATTTGCTGGCCCATGACAACTAAAGAGGGCACTACATATGTTAGTAACTGGGCTTACCCAAAAGGACACTAACTGCACCTGCTTCTAGATAAGGAAACCTTGTTACCAGAGGCTTAAAAGAAATGATCACTACCTTCCACAGGAGCAGCTTAATTTTAACTTCTAACACACAGAGGCCGTGGCTGCAGCCCCATGACTAGATCTGGTGAAAACACGGAAACACCACGCACAGAAGCCCAGCTCCTGCTCTCCTCCCCTTCTCTGCCACAACTCCTGTCTTCCCTCCCTGTTCCTGTGGGAGAATGTCACCTGAGAGATGACAGCCAAGGGCAGGGCTGTTCCCTTCCTACTAGAGTGAGGATAAGAGGGGCCCTGCCAGTATTTGAACATGCTCCCTAGAAACACTCCTGGTAAGCCATTTCCCTGATCAGGGACTTAGCTGCGTGATGAAAGAGGTATGTAAGAATGGGTTCACATGCTCCAAAGTGGACAGAGCGAGACCTTATGGAACACAGAGAACATGTGTTTGTGCCCTGCCATCCAGCTCTCTGAGCAGAAACTGCACCATTTTAGTGATGGAAAAACAAAGCTTGGTGAGTATTTCAGGGCACATGGCAAGCCACCATTCAGGACGTTCCCATCTTGTATCAGAGAGCCAGCTTAAGTCCCAGCTCCTCTGCTTCAGAGTTGGCTTTCTGATAAAGTGCCTGTCCTGGCTTCAACCTGGCCTAATCTAGCTGCTGTGTGCTTTGCGGGAGTGAACAAACAAAGGCAAAATTTTTCTCTCTCCTTCTCTCAACCCGTCACTCTGCCTTTCACTAATAAATAAAAGAAAAAACAAAACAAAACAAAAAATCAACCAAGGCTGGGAGAAGTTAAGGTGCAAAACATCAGGGTAGGAAAAGAGGAATAATAAGAATAAAGCCAGAAGACAGCAAAGAACAGGCAGGGGGCAAAAAGAAGGGACATGCAGCCCTCACCTATTGTTCTAAATCCAAAACTTTGAGCACACTTAAAAAAAAAATTTTGGAATGTGTCTATTTTCATTATAGTATTTAGCATTTTATAGTGTTGAAGCATAATTTTGCTGAACCTGACTTTTTTTCGGGTAGTCTAGACTGGTTTATAACTCTAACAAGACATAAATGCTAAATACTATAATGAAAATAGACACGAGACAGCTGAACAGTAATCTATAGCCATTTTAAGGTGTATAGAACCCGGTTGTATATAAACTAAAATTGAAATGTCAATGAAGAAGTCACAGGATGTGGTTAAGAACCTGCATTTTTTTTTTTAACATATTGGTTACTCAATACTATGTCAATTAACTCCATAACATTATAAATTGTTGCTGATGTTATGTTGTGGCTTTTAATTGACCGGGATGATACTCTGCCAGCTCTACTTTCAGACCAGAGATGGTCTCCCCAAGAAACCGCTGAACTTATCTGCACAGTAAGATGCTGGACTCTATGCCTGGTATATGCTTGCAATGAAAGAATCTCAACTGAACTTGAACTGTGGTAATACAACAAGGTGGAGGAATCCACCATGGGGGGAGGGTTTGGGGAAAGGTGGGAGGATCCCAGTACCCATAAAACTGTGTCACATAATGCAATGTAATTAATAAAAAAAAAAATTTGAAATGTTGTTTTACCCCCCCCCCCAAACGCTACAAATTGACAAATTCTTATCCAAAATCTCTGGAGTACACATGTTTTAGAATTCTCAATCTTTCTCATGTTGTAAACTGTTGCAGCATTGTAGTACACACAAGTATACGTCTAGGTCAACAGCCCCAACAGGATTGGCAGGATGACTGCACACTCAGAAACATGAATATTCACACTAACTATGGTGAGATCGTACATTGCAAACAACTAAGTTTAGGTAGAGATATTACTGACAGATCCCTACAATTTTTTTCATTCTCCCAGAAAGATACATGAATGATCAAGAAGCACACGAGAAGATGCTCACTATCACTAATTAGGGAAGCACAAAGGAGACCAGTGAGGCA